TTTTGCAGATGCGTCGGAAAAGGCGTACGGAGCCGTTGTTTACATGAGAGTAGAATATGAGTCAAGAGTACAATGTGAGATTGTGGCGTCAAAAACCCGAGTAGCTCCGTTGGATAAGCAAACCATACCGCGTCTAGAACTGTTGTCTAACCTTACTGGGTCAAGATTGGTGAAGAGTGTGAGTCAAGCTTTAGAAAACGTTGTGAGAGTTGATGACGTAGTCAATTGGACGGATTCTATGATTTCCTTGTGGTGGATTAGGAACACTGATAAGGAATACAAGCAATTTGTGGAGAATCGCGTGAGCGAAATCAGACGAAATGCACCGCCTGAGCAATGGAGGTACTGTCCTACGTCAGAAAACCCGGCTGACATTGCATCAAGAGGAATTAAGGCCACTGCACTCAAAGAAAGTAGTTTGTGGTTACATGGTCCAGAATTCCTGTCTAAGGAAAGCGCCTACTGGCCAGTCCAGCCTGTAAATGTACAAGCCAAGGAAGAGTTGTGCGAACTGAAATCAGCCAAACCTACAGTCTCCAGCTTATTGAACACGTGTACCGAAAAACAAGAAGCAAATCTGGAGAGTATCATCAATCCTGAATCCTACAGTTCCCTCACGAAGCTCATAAGAGTTACTTCACTTGTGTTGCTATTTGTCAAAAAATTGAAAAGAAGAAGGGACGGATCAACTGACCAAGAAGAATCCTTGCAAGTTTACAAGCAAGCTGAGAAGAAGTGGATTAAACACGTTCAAAAGGGTATCCTGAACAGTGACAAATACCAGCAAATGAAGTCGACTCTGGGACTTTATCAGGACAGTGAAGATGTAGTCAGATGTCAAGGAAGAATAGGTCTGTCGTCGTTACCATATGATACCAAATTTCCTGTGCTTCTGCCTAGAGAACATTGCTTTACGAGATTGGTGATCCTCAAGTGCCATGAACAAGTCATGCACAATGGAGTAGCAGAGACGCTGGTTCAACTGCGTTCAAAATACTGGGTCGTTAAAGGGAGACAGACAGTTAAGAAGATATTAAGCAAGTGTGTAGTATGCAAGAAACTTGAAGGTCGCCCCTATGGAGTGCCTCCTACCCCTCAACTACCTGAATTCAGATTGTCTGACGACTTCGCATTTTCAAGTATAGGAGTAGACTTTGCGGGTCCCATTTTTGTCAAGGATGTGTACAACAAGAGTAGTGTTATGAACAAGGCATACATTGTGTTATATACGTGTGCATCTAGTCGCGCGGTTCATCTAGACCTTGTTCCGAATATGTCAACTCAAGCGTTT